GGACAACAGAGCTGCTTCATGGAAGAACCTTAGCTTAGCCTGTTAGCTTTAGCGTTAGACCCGATGCTATCACCATATATATGTATTAGCTCAGCGCTACACATTCTCCTCTCGTCACTGAGGTCCTCCATCCACATGACAGAGAGGGGAACGCAAAAATGACTCAGTTTGCAACTGAAAATATGGATGGAGGACCTCAGTTTGTGTGTCGCGCTAGCGCCAAGCTAATACATATAAGGCAATATAGTGTGGGCGCTAGCGCAAGGGCTAACAGGCTAAGCTGAGGTTCTTCTTCCATGAAGCAGCTCTGTTGTCCTCCATCCATACTTTCAGTTACCGTTTGAGTCATTTCTACCTTCTCCTCTCTGTCAACGCTCTCTGGTTTCATTTAAAAGAGTCGATCATCAGATATTGTCTGTCGTCGCAAAAAGCAGAAACGCGTTGGAATAATACCAGAAAAGTCTGCGTATATGATAATCAAATATAATTTAATTATGAGCAACAAACAAACAGAACTGAATCAGGAAGGTTCTGCATGCTTGCGACTGAACGCGTCAGCAGAATACAGCCAGTAATTTAACATCACGTCAAAACCATGTGACAGTTTACAACCAATCACAGATTGCCAAATATACTGTCCAGCCTATCACAGGGCTCCCAGCCCAAAGAGTCTGTTAGAGTTCAGTCCATTGCGGAGTCTTGACGTCCGGAACTATCAGAAAGATAAGAGTGATTGACAGTGTCAAGGTGAAACAGATATAAATAATTAGTCCATGACATTGTCCAAGATTAACATTCAGGGTGGATATAGCTCACTAGCAGCCTCACACTGATGACCTAGTTGATGTCATCATTTACCCAGAATGCTTTGCATGTAAATAAAATGGCTCCGTCCATGTCAAAATATATTTTAAAAAATTTACAAAACTAAACTGCCTACAGTATTTTTACAGTCTTTATTTTACAATTAAAATAAATGTTTATCAAGTAAAGTTTAATGTTACAACTAAYCGTGGATCCCTTTAATAATGTCTGGGCTGCTACAGATTGAGAAGAAGTTGAAACCTCACATCAGTCTTCAACTCTGAACAGTCATGACTTTTGTTTTTCGAATAAGAGCTCCCTGCCATAAATCAGATCAGCTTTAATATTCACGGCGCTGCGGCGTGAATCCACATCCTCGAGTAAATATCTGCTCGTTATCGCAGCTTGCGCCTCTGCATCACACAATCAGGTTTTATGCAAAATTTATGACTGCGCAGGAGAGGAGAAAACACCGACCGCCCTGAAAAAGAGCTGCATTTCTGCACGTAAACAGTGACACACCCGTACATCCGTTCACGTCACAAGACACACACAAAAAAGGCTGCCATGTGCTGTCAAATTGTGAAAAATGATTGAATTCAGCTTGATTSAAGTGATTCACAGTCTACTTTTAATGCAAACAGGAAAGGAGCTGAACAGTAATGGTGCTTTTTGACTTGGCAGAGATCAACAGAGGATTATTTTAACACTGCTTTTATTTAAGGAGATTGAACTTCTTTACTTTTTTCTTCACAGGAGCTTTTGTTTCAGTTCAAACTGAAAAGTTGTTCCATTTTATCCCAGCTCAATTCGCGTGCAGATCACCTCCAAGCTAATATGGATAACCTTGACAATAATAAATGATCTCTGAGTTAAACACTAATTAGTTTAATAATAACATAGGGTTATATTCACAAGTATCAAAAGTTTTCACATCCTTACTCAAGTAGGATTATCAATATTAGTGTTTAAAAATACTTATTTACTGGAAGTTGCTTTTCACTCAAGTAAAAGTGTTTCAAAATTCCTAAAAGTAAAAAGTAATAGTAATGGTAAACAGTGGAGGGCAGCACTAATCTAAATATTAGTTGCTCTAACTCAAATGTTTAGGGTCCCAAATTCTAAAGCACTAACAACTATTTAGTTCCCCTAATTCTAAAGCATTAACTCAACTATTTAGATCCCCTAATTCTAAAGCATTAACTCAACTATTTAGATCCCCTAATTCTAAAGCACAAACTCCAATATTTAGGTCCTCTAATTCTAAAGCATTAACTCAACTATTTAGATCCCCTAATTCTAAAGCACAAACTCCAATATTTAGGTCCTCTAATTCTAAAGCACTAACTCAACTATTTAGATCCCCTAATTCTAAAGCACTAACTCCAATATTTAGGTCCTCTAATTCTAAAGCACTAACTCAACTATTTAGATCCCCTAATTCTAAAGCACTAACTCCAATATTTAGGTCCTCTAATTCTAAAGCACTAACTCAACTATTTAGATCCCCTAATTCTAAAGCACTAACTCCAATATTTAGGTCCTCTAATTCTAAAGCACTAACTCAACTATTTAGATCCCCTAATTCTAAAGGACTAACTCCAATATTTAGGTTCCCCAATTAATTCTAAAGTGGCAATGCACTGAAAAATTAACCAAAATCTGATTCTAAAGCACTAATATAAAAGGAGACAGTATTTATATTTACTTTGTGCATAATATTGTCAGTGTGTTACCTGGTGGATAAATGACACACTAATGAAAAAAAATGAATGGCAGCTTTTACCTTCAGCTGTGAACAATGACCTCAATTAGTGCCTCGAAATTTAGCACATACATTTATAGAGCTAATCAACTAATGRATTTAAAAATAACAAAAACCCTAAAACACTAATCAGTGAATTAGTTCCCCTGTTAGTGCTTTAGGGGAACTGTGCCTGTCTGTAATACTGTGTTAAAATGTTAATGGTGAAAAATTAAGGATGCACTTGTTCCTGCTGCATTTTTTTGAAACAATGACAAGCTGGAATGAACTTTTTCAATTTTAAGGAGTAGATGTAGTAGTAAGGATTAGAAAGTACAGAAACAAAGTTTGTACAAATTTTATTTGTATTTGTAGTAATTTGTTGACACCTCTGAGTAATAAATAAGAATAACAATTATAAATAGCGTATTAAAAATCCTGATACCAGTTCATGACCACACATGTCCTGCTCTGTTCTGTGTTTTGTGCATTTTTTAAGTTAAAACATGGTCAAACGCACAATTTTCTGACTTTTACAGTGACTGCGTTTTAGACCCCAGGACGACTTCACACCTTGGTTCTGTACCTTTTTGATGGATTTATTTTTTCTCACCTTGGTGGCTCACTGGTTTCTCAACACTTGGATTTGTCTGCTCTTGTGCACAGACAAACACGCTGACCCTTTCGTGGGGAATAATCCAGATTTTTAATGTAATGCAATGGCATTTTTGTTGAAAGGCAAAGGTCTGCGTTACTAAAATCCCTCATGAACCACACGACAAATCTTCATAAAACTTTTAGTAAGTAAACACAAATAAGAGATGAACTTTAATCCAATTCAAGCCAACTCCCAAATGGCTGTAACTCAGCCAGTTCAACAGATATTGAGCTAAGATTTGAGGTAGTAGCTGAGAGTCGTTCTTAGTGTCACTTTTTATGACATCACCWGAGATTGCAGATGACATTTTCAAGGTTTCCTTGAATAGCCTATATGCCACGGTCATTAATGACGTATTTCCGGTAAAATTCTTGCCACGCTCCTCCCTTCCACTCCCTGCTTACTTCCTATATTTTTAGCATTAGCTCCTAGTATTAGTCTGTGAAAATGTCACAAAAGTTAAAGCATCTGTGATCTACTGGTATAAAACATGAGTTATGTTGTGCCC